CCAACTCAAGATTCCGTGACTCAATCTCAGCACTACCATCACCAACTTATGACAACGGTTTATATTAGACTACATCACAAAATGTATTATTTTCTTAGTTCAACATTCCATTTTGCGGGTATGTTGTTAAAACACGCACTATCACACAGTTCCATATCTGCAGGAGTTCGCCTGACGAAGACCACACAAACCTGAGGCCACAAGCTCGGGATCTTAATTTTCAGACCTTGCAACAAGCCAACAACCAAGCCTGGGTTCCAAAAGAACCCAACCTGAAACCTGCATCTACTGAGCACGTGACTAAATCTTTGATCAAGCTCGGGCCTACAAAATTTGCATTGGGTCTTTTTAAATCCAACCAGAAGCATGTCGGATTAGTTTAGTTCTCAGCTGAATAAGTCTTGAAAATTGATTAATAATTAATTTTCATCACCATCGAACCAAAAGGGTTGTTTTGTTAAATTCTCTGAATCTACAAGTCTGATCGATGTGATTCTTGTTTGTTTAGCTTAAAAGTTTTAACTAGTTTTATTCCATCAAGTCTAATAGTGAAATGGAGTTACCCAAACAATTTTATATGAACTGCCCCAAACCCCAACGCCACCTCCCCCCCCTTTCCGCACCCGCCTGTATCCTTTGCATGGGTCAAAATTCTACAAAAAAAATGTAGCAACTAGTCATGTATATATGGTCATGTGTCCCTCTACATATACTTGTAAAACTGTTTCATTCATATTATTTCAAGCTACTCTTTGACATATGGTTTTCATGGAATTGATTGATGTTTTAATTTTCTTAGATAGTAAGATACTACTGAAAAAAATTCTTCCCCAGAGACAGATTATGAATACCCCATCCTTGAAAATTGTCAATTATACTACATCGAATTTTAACAAAGCCATAATGTCCATCTCTTCGTTTCAATAAACAAAAGAAGCAGAAAGGGAGTTGTTTACAAAATGTTATCCTCCATATTCTTGTCACTTTCCAGTTTGCATTTCAGATAAATGACTAGTGTGTGTATCCTCTTCCTTCCTTTAATTGGGGTCATATCCTCCACACCCATCCATATCTATGCTTTCCACTTATTCCTGGGCACCATTTCATAAACTGGAGGTGGTTTCGCTCAGCTTCAAAGAAATGTAGATATTATGTGCCACAAAATCCTTCCATTCAGCTGAAAGTGTTGACAGAGTTCGTTGGCAAAATATTTGTGGTGGAAAACATATGAAATAATGATACAAAATTAAGAAAAGGGAGAATTGTTTTACGTGATGTGTTACTAACCAGTCAAATTCCAAGATACCTCCCAAGGCCACAGCTGATTCAGATAGGTAAGTGGAACCCTGGACGGCCATGGCCAGTCCATGACATTATATCCAACTGGCTTAAGAAAGTGAAACAAATGCCACCCCAGTAGTGTACCTACAACTCCGTTGGTAGAAGGATACAGGTCACACTCATAAATATGGTCTCGTGAGGCTCCATCCTGCAGTTGTGTTGAATGCGAGATCAGAAGGTTGCAAAGGTCCATTCAATGTACCACGTGGCTCCATCCTGCAGCTATACTATGCACAATAGTCCATCAACCCTTGCGAGATAGTCTTAGAAGACATAAGATTAAGTTACTATTTAATTTCGACTAATAAATTATTGTATGTTTTTCCTTTGTTCATTTTCTAACACACTACACATAATAGATATACTATAGTCTCTATGTAGTTATGATAAACTTATCAACTACTAATCTATATGTTTTGGAGAAAATCTTTATTTGACACTACTGAGTTGAAGAATTCCTTCCTCAAGCCCTGGGGAACTCAAAATTTTCTTATCTGACATTATCTCTATCTTTCATGCCTAATATATTATGTGTTCCATTGTACACTTGTTCGGTTTTAGCTAAACAGATGAAAATGGCCTCCCAGTGGAAAAAAAAAGTCAAACCGAACTCCCTCTATTGCTCTATTCTAGGCTCTGTTTTCCTCGTCCATTGAGAGGGAAATTGAGGGGGAGATGTGGATGAAGTAGCGGTCGGGGATTCTCTGGCGATGATGAGGTCGAGGGCATTCCCAACGCATTTGGGCCGGGGTTCAATCCAACGATTGGCACGCTAGTCCTAGCGTCTTGTCCGCGCAAGTACTCCATCCCCGGTTCGACTGCAGGCAACCCTGGCACGGGTCCCGATGGTGTGTGCACTATCGTCCATTGTTACAGTGTCCCCAACTCCGGCAGTTGCAGCCTCGCCGGTTGAGGGGTACACATAGCTTATGCCATGTTGGAGGGTAAAATAGTCTTTCTACTCTCCAGTAGAGCTAAAAATTGACTGTTATATCATATCGGGTATGAAAATATAGACATAATAGTGACAAATAAAAAAGATTCTCATATGTTTTTATCCATATGTCACCTCTATGTATCTTTAATATGTATTTAGTCAAAAGCTTAGCTTAAACTATGATGTCTATGGTTGCAGCCCATATCTTATAACATCATAAATCTAAATTTTTAATAACTTTTCAAATATTAGTATTATTGATTGCTATAGAGTTATTTGATCCATTGGTTAAGTTGAGGCTCTAAGTCTATTGCGTATTTTATTAGCACTCCTTTTGTATTTTTTAAAAATAAGGATTTATGTACCTAAAAGAGAGCTAAACAATAATAAGAATAAGTAACCACAGTTGGGAAAATTCATTAAAAATAAAGTCAAAATTGCTGGGAAAATAATTAAAATGAACCACAAAAATTTAGTCTTCGTAGTTTTCTTATAAGAACTTGGTAAGTTTTGAATTGGAACCAACTGCTCTGGAAAGAGGTTTTTACCTCTGTCCAGTATAATTAAAAAAATGAAGTAACAACATTTTCAAACTAATAAGTATTCCTTCATCACTGTGCCATTGACATGAACCGAAATTGTTCATGGACATTAATTTAAATGAGGCTGCTTTGTAACTGGGCCAATTTTGGCCCAAAATTTCGTACCCTGGTGGCCTTTCCCTTTCCTCACCTGTATCCACTGTTACACTAGACCTGGTCCGCTTCTGCTCAAAAAAAAAAAGGCCTGGTCTGCTAGACCAATCTGGGCCTTAACCTACACCGGCTTACATACCTAGTTTCTCAAAAAAAAAAAAAGTTTAGCCCGACAAATGCTGCAGGCTTGTAATGACACAAACGCGATCAGAATCAGCCCATGGTTTTCCCTTTTACGACACGTATTCTTGAAAACGTATGAGCCAAACCTGTTTGCATGTACTTAAAAATTCATAACTAATTAATTCTAACCCCAGAAAATATCATACATTTACCATTTTTCTTAAAATATGAACTACATCAAATATAAAGATTATTAAATAGCTAATAAAACTAAATACTAAAGTATACGAACATTGATTTTTTGTTGGAGACTCAGAAGCCGGGTTGTAACGCACAAACGACATGTGGCCGACACGACTAGGGCCACTCTTGACGCAAGGCAAAGCAAAACGAACATGCTTAGGGTACGTATAATAAGTGTAATTTTGCTTTGTAACTACTACTTTTAATTTGAATTGGTGTATAGCAGTCTCATATGCCAAATACATGTGAATGGACACGTATCTTAAATTGGCGATAGGTGCCCAAGATTGACCCCATTGACCTATGGGATGCGTAAGCAAATTAATTAAAATAAAGTCAAAATCGTTAGAAAAATTAAAAAAAAAACTCGATACGTGGTGGCTAGACAGCCCCGGGTATTCCGGCTTAAGAAGAAAATATTCTCACGCAGATCGAGAAAACACTCGAACCCCAGCCCCACCCATACACAGACCTGTGCTTTAGATGTGGGGCAGACGAGAGAGTCCCCCCCTGGTTGCTGCGGCCGAAACCATAAATAAAGAGTGAGTCCCTTGGGACTCAAACTCTGACCATCTAAAGGGGAGGTACTGAGCCTGCCCTGACCACTCAGTCAGCCAAATAAAACGGTTAGGAAAATTAATTAAAACTGAACTACAAAAAGTTGGTCATGGTAAAGGTCTCGGTAGGTTTTGAATCGAAACCAATTGCTCTGGAAATGGCTCCTTTATATGCCAAAAAAAAGGTGAAGTATAACATTTTCGGCCGAATATGTTTTCAACGGGAGGGCTCCTTTACCGTGCTCTTGACATGCACTGAAATTGTTCACGGACAAAGGCTGCTTTGTAACTGGGCCATTTTCGGCCCGAAATTTCAAACTCTGACGGCCTTTTGCTTTCCTCAACCGTATCCATTGTTACACTAGGCCCGGTCTGCTAGACCAATCTGGACCATAACCTACGTCGGCTTCCACACCTAGTCCGGCCCAACATATGCCCTAGCCCAAATATGTGTTTCGGACCAATATACTGCCACAAACGCACATCAGAATCAGCCCATGGTTTGCCCCTGATATATTCTTGAATTTTGGAATATGAACTAAACCTATTTTATTTAGAAACTCGTATAACTAACTAATTATAATTCCAGAAAATATGATACATTTACTATTTTTGCTAACAATGCGAACTAAATCAAACATAAAGATTATTGAGTAACAAATAAAACTAATTAATACTAAAGTATACAAACATTGATTTTCTTTCTTATCTACTTAGGGGAAGGCAAAGCAAAGCAAAGCAAACGAAACCTCCTTAGGAGGGTAAGTACAATAAGAGAGCTGTAAAAAAAATTTTCTAACTACTTTTGAATTTGTATAGCAGTCCCGTATGCTAAATACATACATGCGCATGGACACATATCTTAAATCTGCGATTGGTGCCCATGACTCTGCTTCGTGGGGCACATCCCCACTGATTCTTTTTTGTGGTTTAACCACTATGGCTATGTATACAGGTTAACTGCTGCTAGGAATTTGGATTACACACCACACCCACACCATACATTGGTTAACGAATTACTGTAATCCATTACACACCTTTTACTGGTTAACTAACTACTTCTTGGCTGCACTGTGTGCAGATTCAGGACTCATTGTGCTGCTGTCATGTACAGTTGTTGCAAGTGATGAACCTCCAGATGCGCCTCGTCCGCCGGCCAATTTTGTCGAGCTTACTGATGACAATGGTGAGGACCTGATACTGATTTGTAGCAGCACCACCAGATGGCTGTCCTAAGGAGGAGCTCGAGCTGATGTCACTACGACTTGAATTTGCATCAGGAGGCTCCTGGCCCTGGAGGTAAAGCCCATTACTTGAATCGTTCTTGTGCAGGTAGAAGTTCCTGCCTCCCACATCTCCAATTTTGTCGTTTTTGTTCAAACCTGTAGGCAAAATGTTTAAAGTGTTACTCTTGGGGTAGGATGGCTCCATTTCCAAGAAAATTTCCACTTTCTGCTGCTACAACTACAAGAAGGGCTCAGGTTCAACCAACCACAAAATGAACGGTACTATACAAGGGAAGATGGGTCCAAAATCATATTGAAGTCTCAAATTTGAAGTTGATAGCCAACTGGTTATTGGTTGAAACCTGAGCTCCTTTAACAACCAGAGTTACATTGGTACTCCCTCACAGGTCAGAAATAAATGATGTTTCTGACCGGAGCATATAACAGTTATAACTGTAAACAGCTCTCAAAGGCCTAACTAACACTAAGAACATATGCCTCATCTTGACACAGTCACACTTGACTGCAAGTTTCCAATAGGCTATAGCTGACCCTGGGCGTAGAAATACAAGATTATTGATTTCATAATCATGCAATGAATCTGGATCTTTTAAAGGTACATCAGTGGGCAAAGGTTTAACTTTATGTATTGGAAAAAGTCTACTCCACCCCCAACTATGGGGGATGGTCTACATAACCCCCTCAACTATGAAACGGTCTGATTTACCCCCTGAACTTTCTAAAACCGTCTATTTTACCCGACAGACGGTTTTCAGCGGCGGTTTGCTACAGTAACGGCGGGTTGCTACAGTGCCATGGGGTTTTGTCTTTTCCTTATTTCCGCTGAACCTTTCAAAAATCATAGTAAATCACAGAAAAATCATAAAATGAAAAATCTAATTTTGTTGGACTCCACATGAGTAGATCTACACAGTGAACATATAATATGGTACACTTTAGCACAAAACTTTTACTGTAGATTTATATTAATTAGAAAATCTAATTTTGTCTGTAATTAATTGGAATTTATCTATAACTAAGTTATACATGGTCCAATGAGTACGAAATTTTTACTATAATTTAAGCATATAATAATTAACCTACCATAAAAATTTCACCACAATTGGACCATAGAAGCTGTAACTATGAATTATTCTAATTAATTACAGACAAAATTGGATTTTCCAATTAATCTAAAGCTACAGCAAAAACTTTGTACTAAAACGTACTATATTATATGTTCGCTGTGTAGATCTACTCATGTGGAGTCCAACAAAATTAGATTTTCCATTTTATGATTTTTCTGTGATTTACTATGATTTTTTCTGTACCAAACCCGCCGTTACTGTAGCAAAAACCACCGCTGAAAACCGCCTGGGGCGTAAAATAGACGGTTTTGGAAAGTTCAGGGGTAAATCAGACCGTTTCATAGTTGAGGGGGTTATGTAGACCACCCCCATAGTTGGGGGGTGGAGTAGACTTTTTCCTTTATGTATTCTAGGCCAACATATGTGGTTGTGAGCTTGTAACTGCAGAACAAAAATGCAATGACGTTGGCATCCACACAGTTTTCTGATGCTAAGGAAGTGTCCAGTAGCATGAGCCATTTGTCAATCAGTACATTATTATATAATTTATGTTTTCCTGACGACCCAAAGCATCGGGGCTAGTTGTATATAATGGACCGAATCAGGAGAACGACAGCCAGAAAATTTTCAGACTTACGACTACATGTATAATTTGGCAGTTAACAATAAAATTGGAAGTACATGATCTCACGTTTTGATGTGCCATTGAAACAAAAGCATGCTTTAAACAAAAGGAATGAGTCTGTCAATTATGAAATAAATAATATAAATGAAACTACAGTTGTCCCATAAATAATCAGCCAAACAATTAAAATACAAATCTATCCAGTGGACAAATAAACATTTCATTTTAGCCTTTTAGGAACGGTCTCTGAGTTGAGATGACTTGAGAACGCCTAAACATGTGGATCACAAGATCAGTAAGATAAGGATGCCTTACTCTGCAGATCAATTTCTCTTCAAAAAGAGGGTAATAATTTCATTATGTCGACATGTTTGGACGAAATCAGAAACCTTAATCGGAATTCCACAGCATCCACAACTATTGGTAGGGATGGAGGGAGCCACACTACAATTACACACTAACATCCAAAATACAAGCACATAGAACCACCAAAACGGTTGGACGCATGCGAGTTCTTACACCAAAATAATGCTTATTAATTAATCCTTGAGAAGAAAAGAAAAGATGATACCCAGTGATACTAATTGTCAGATGAAAGAAAATTTCTTTGATAAAATCAAGCGTACTGGTGGCTTACTCTGAAGGCTGAAATGAGAGTGGTGAAGTTGGAAGCTCTCTGCCGCGGCCGGGTCCAGGCGCGGGCTTCTCCCCTCCCTGGCGTACCTCTCGACGACGGCAGCAATGGCCTCCCCGACGCTGGCGCCCAGCCTGACCATGGCCTTCACCGGGCCGACGCTCCCCTCCACCGTCACGCTCACCACCACCTTCGCCTCCTGCACCGCCGCACCAAACCATTCCCATTCCCATCCGTAAATAAACTACGCAGAGCCGCGAACTAAACAACACAAATTGCCTAATTGGTCTCGGTTAGTTCGCTGGCCGTACCTCCCGGTCCCGGGAGCAGAGCTTGGCGAGGGAGGCGGCAGAGGGGGAGCGACCGAAGACCGACTCCTCCGGGGCGAAGACGTCGAAGCAGGTGTGCGGACGCTCGAGCGGCGGCGCCGGCGGGGACGGCGGGCACTCAAGCTCGTGCTCGACCCCGTGCGGCGGCACGGCGTGGACCCGCGCGTCGCCGAGCCAGAGCGCCGGCTCGGACGCGGAGCGCGCGAGGGCCCGCCTCTTCCCGTCCCGGCGAGTTCGCGTCCGCGACCGCGACGGACCCAGCTGCGGCGCCGCCGCCGCCAAGCCGCTCCCGCTCTTGCGGCGGCGGCGGCGGCGGCGGGACGGAGATGCCGCCGCCGGCGAACGCCCCACCCGGACGCCGGAGAGCCGCGACCGCCCGTTCCTGTTCCTCTGCTCCTGCATCAGCGCGCGCATGCCGTCTCCGCCTGCGTGGGTTGGTTGCGGTGCCGAGATTTCTGGGAGCAGGTGGTGCCTTGAACGAACTGGTGTGTTGGTGGTGTCGTCGGTGCAAATAAAAAGCTTGCTTTGACCTCGACATTACGGCGATGTCCTTTATGCTTGACGCAACAGAGGGAGGTGGGAGGAGGAGGAAGCTTCGTGGGGAGTTGGGAGCATGTGGACTTGTTGCAGTGGGCGGCGGTGCGTAGGTGCGGTTCTTCCGGTCAGGATGTCAGTGAGGCTGAGTCCATGGACCAAGAGCAAGTGCGGGAAAAGCAGAGGGTGGTTTGGGAGGAAACTGCTGGAGAGGGGAGAGGGGGAGACGTCGGATGCTCCGCGTGGTTGAGTGTGGAATGACGATGAGGGGGCAGCGAGGTGCTTCAAATTACAGGATTCTGCCATTGCTTTCGTCAGGGGCAATTTGGGCGCGCAATGGCCGAATTTTTTACTTTTTGGCCCTTTTTTTGAAAGTTTCTCTCAAATAGACCCCTGGCGGAAAGAATTCCAGAAATGGACCCTTGGCTCGGCGCCCAGAGTGAGTGGCGCCGAGCTCGGCGCCACGATGATCGGGCGCCGAGCTCTCGCCACGGGCAAACGGCTCCTGCTAGGGGCTTGGCGCCAGAAGCGGATGGCGCCGAAGCTCGGCCAACAGAGATCTTGGCGTCGAGCTCGGCGCCACTCACTCTGGCGCCAAGCTCGCTTAAATATCTACCGGGCCGCCTTCTTCCTCCTCTAGTTGCCCTAGCCAGCCCCGCCGCCGCATGCGCACGCCGCCACAGACGACGTCGCCGCACCACTTGCCATACGCCACGCCACGCCATGACACCCGCCGCCACGCCGCCCGCCATTGCCGTCTGTGCCTTGCCGCGCCTCATGCCCACGCGCCGCCACGCTACCGCCAGCGCTGCCAGCATACGCTCACGCCACGCCACCATAGCTGCCAGCGCAAGGCCACAGCGCCACGCCATCGCCGCCGGCTTCTGCCCACGCCAAGCTGCTGGCTCGCCATGCCGCCGGCTTGTCCGAGCCGCCGCTGCTTTCGGCCAAGCTCAAGCCATGCACGCCTCTCCTTCCTCGCCTTCGAGCCCGCACCAAGGCCACTGAAAGCCGAGCTGCTGGGCCTGGTCCGAGCTTGCTGCTGCTCGGCGTGGCCGCCCGAGCCCAAGGCCGCCCTCTGCCTGCCGCCTGAGCCCGCATCACATGCGGCCGCGCCGTGTTCTCGCGCTTATTGGCGTTAGTTGGGCTGCGTAGCCGCTGAAGCCGCCACGCCCACCGCTGTCGTAGCCTTTGTCTCCACCGTCGGCCTCGGCCTCGCCTCGCGCTTTTGTCGACGCCCACCATTGTCCTTTTCTCGCCCGCCTCCTCATGGCCGTCGAGCCGGTCTCTCAGCCATGAGCGCCGGCCACCTCACACCGCCGTGGCGCCACCTCTCGTCGTTATCGCACCACCGCGAGCCCCGGATATTCGCCTTGACTCTACGCCCATCGTCTGTCGACTTTAAAGGTATAAAATATGAATATGCAATGTACCTATTCGGGCTTGGTGTATGTTATTGACTAGTTATATTGTGATGACTTTGTTAGTTGATTTAGTTATATATATATGTAGATAGATAGAAACATAGATACATTGATAAATAGATATAGTTAGATAGCTACTTAGATATGTAGTTATATTTGTAGTTAACTACAAATGATCTTGCTATTTAGTGAGTACACTATAAATATATACGTAGTTATGATCATGATTACTTAGTTTGTAGTTAGAAAGTACTTGTTAGGTACTATCTATCGTATAATTTGGACTAAAGGACATGTGTTTCAAGTTCGTTTTTAAATAGATGGACAACCTAGTGACCATATATCATGGAGGCACGGTTGAAAGCGATCGTTATGGATATGTTGAGTTTCTTGACATGCAAAGCGTGCTCGTGCTATTCAATGATAGACCTTCATTTAGTGATATGGTTGCAAGGGCTCGGGAGGAGCCGCATTGCTTTGGAGATGATGACATTGCGCTTGATGGTGTATCGCACCTAGGTTGTCCTCCGAACATCTTCAAAAGCGTAATGATCTCAATTGGTTGTGCGGATCGCTGGGACAACTATGTGAGATCGGCTATGAAGAGCCAAATGCAATGTTTGGACGTGGTTGTTCGTCGGTGTTAGTTGATCCAATCCTCATGGGTTTACCCCAAAGAATGGATCATCCGGCACACATCGACCCTCCCGTTCCGAACCTTACCGCATGTGCAGATTGCGCCTATGGTTCCCGATGCTCAATCACTTTCATCGTTATTTGGAGATGGTTTTCATACTCATGTTTTCATGGCGATCCTCCTTATGAGATCCCTTTGACACGTAATCATCCGAGTAAGTGTCTTAACCGCATGGTTTTTGGGAGCTCATCGTAATCATGGTATTTTTTCATTCTTTCCTCATTTCTCGTAATGACGCTGCGTAAGACATTCCCGAGAATATCGATGTGCCCTATGTTGTTGCGCAAGTGCACTTTTTAGATGGATTTCGTGGCTCCAATGATGTTGAAATTATGAATGATTCGAGCCATATGAGATGGCTAGGGCTCTTGATTCTGATGATGATCGTGCTGTTGGAGAGCTGACGGAGAGTGATGTTGAGATGATGAGACGTATCTTTCCCGACCGCCGTGATCCTAGAGTTCATGAGTTTAGTGATCTTGCTCATTCTCGATCTAGCGTTTGCGTATGACGTGATGATGAGCTCCTAGAAGCTCCCGAGGCCGGGTCCTAACATGGTAATTGAGGAGGAGGGTGTTCAATGACCTCCCCGCTTTGAAGAGGTGGTTGCAGGCTTTTGCAGTGATACGAAAAGAGGCCTTACAGGGTATTGCATTCATATGTGGAGCGCCATTACACAGTTGTGTGTGACAAGGAACGCTGCCCATGGAGGGTTTGTGCAAGGAAGCAACAGGTGACCGGAAAATGGAAGATCACAAAAGTAGTTGGGCCACACAATTGTGTCGACCATGAGTCGACAATCGAGGCATCGGCAGCTTGACATCTACCCTAATTGCCAAGCGGTTGATGGGAATTTTGCAGGAGAACCCAACATGAAGGTGAGAACAATTATCGTGACCGTTGAGGCGTTGTATGGAGGATATGTGATAACTTATGGTAAAGCATGGAGGGCTAAGCAATGAAAGTGGAACATGATATATGGGGACCGGGAGGATGGGTATGAGCAAATGCCAATTCTTTTCAATGCAATCAAAGCGGTGAATCCAGCATGCATTATGAGTACATCCCAAAACCTAATGCATGGAAGGATGGGAGGCGATATTTTCCGTGCCTTCCGGGTGCTTTCTCAAAGGTGTCGAGGCCTTTAGGCATTGTCGTCCCGCCTTTCTCCATTGATGGTACGCTTCTTGATTGGCAAATACCAGGCACACTTCTTATAGCCATATCTCGTGACGCTAACAACAAGTTGGTTCCTTTAGCATTTGCTTTGGTTGAGAAGGAGAACAATGACAGCTTGGGGATGGTTCTTGAGGCTAGTCCGGATACATGTGGTTGGCCCTAGCAGGAGGTTGGCGTCATATCGATAGGCATCGGGGCATACTTAATGCCGTCGCGAGAGCAGCGAAGCTTAGAGGGTATGCACCTTTGCACCATCGTTGGTGTACTCGACACCTTGCCGAGAATCTCCCTACGGAAGGACAAAGTCAAGAAAAACTTTGATCTCATTGCGGGAGGTCGCCTCGACGCCTTGAGGACAAGTACTTTAGGGAAAAGTTGGAGCAGGTCGAACCGCATCAAATGCGTAAGGTAGACAATGGCTCACGGGTTTGATGAGGGATTTGGAGAAATGGACGAGAGCTCATGACGATGGTGGTCGGAGGTACGAGTTTCAATGCAAAGAACATGGCAGAGTCATTCAATAAATTGCTATTGGGGATACGTGGTATGCCCGTGAATGCAATTGTTCAATTCACCTTCTATAAGCTTGTTGCCCGGTTCAACGATAGACACGCCCATGCATTGCGCTTGAGTAGTGATGGAGAGATATGGGCTCAAAACCAAAGGCACACCTAGAGAAGGCAAGAGAAAGGGTCAGCACACATGAGGTTGCATGCTTTGACCATGCCACGTGGGACTTATCAGTCGAGCATAGGGCTGTGGTACAACGTCCGATGGCAAGGTCCGAGAGTCGAGGATACATGTGGTTGTCCTCCAAGATTTCAAGTGCACTTGTGGTAAACCAAGGCAATACCACTTTGTATGTTCGCATTTGGTGGCAGCAGCTAGGCATCGCAACTATAATATCGAGAGGAGGATACCTCACGAGTTCAAAGGTCAACACGCTTGTGAATACATGGAGCCCTCGCCGTGCCTTCCGGGACCCTCGGAGAGTGGCCTCCTTATGATGGGCCGGTACATTGCGGATCCACCACCGCTGGAACAAGCGTGGATCAAGGCGGAGGACGAGACATAGGATGGTTATGGATCGATACCCTAAGAACTAGGCGTGGGAGAGGAACTCCATTTGTTACTTGATCCCGAGCAAGACGAAAAGCGGCAAGTCACGGTAGATTTGGCCATAACTCACGAAGTTGCCATTGGCAAATTAGTGAGGTAGGACTATTGGTTTATAGTATTATTTATATTTTGTCGTATCATATATTTAATTATGCATGTCTCAATTTATGCTTGTATTTGTGTCAATTATGTATACATTTATAAGTTCATGTTTCATTGTACATTGCAATTCTAATTCATTCACTTTTTTTTGTAGGATGGAGCAATTCCACCTGCCGACCCGACGCATTTGAGGAGACCCACAGAGGACGCCTCGCTATACCAAGGCAGGTAATAATCTATAAGTTTTATTCGTACATGTGTTCGTGAAGTAACATGTTACTATGTTATCTTCGATGTAGACCTTCCGCACCTTCGTTCTAGGACCCACAAGTGGGTTCTTGGACATTCGATACGATGAT